AAACTGTACCCATTACACCTCCCTGCAGCCACAATCAAAGATCTTTAGGCAGTCTCTTGCAACATGAACCTTGTATCTTTTCACCTCCTTATACCGCTCACGGATGCTGAGGTTCTTGCCATTATCTAGACCTTTTGAAGGTCCAGCTTCGATCAGATCTCCATCTCTTATAACACTCATGATAACATCTTGATTTCTCAATTCACAGCCCATCACAGTCAGTGACTGGACCTGGAGGCTAGTGAGTAAATGCAGTTATGCTAAGGTTGGCATACTCTTGTTCCAAATCGTGCCTGAATCACATCCACCAGCCATGACACATTTTGACTTGTATCCGGTATTGAAATCACTTCTGTTTTGTTTCCAACTTTGCAGAACACCCGCGCCGCTTGGTCAGCCTAAGGAACGTATGAGCCCTCAATTGATACCCAGTCACATCGTCTCAACACCTTGTTGGAAGCCCTCGAGGAGGTGCTCAAGTTGCTTGCCGATCCTGACAGCTGACGGCAGCGCGAATACACGACGAGTGGTATATGCTACCGTTCACCACATAAAGTACCTGCCGAGAATCCATATCGCTGAATGAATTGTTATCGGGGTCTACTTCAAGAGGATGGGGTGAAGACATGGAAGGGGGAGGGGGGGAGTGTTGTGCGAGGGAGAGAAGAGGGAGGGAAAGGAGAGGGGAGGAGAGAGAGACACGAGGGAGGGGGAGGAGCTGACAGGATGACTGTAGTTGTCATGCGTGGAGGAAGCAAACGAGGTCGCCTTGCAGTTTCATGGCAGCATTTTACACCCAGTGTGAAGAAGCAAAGGAAGAAAAACAAAGAGGAGGGTAAAGTGAAGGTTTCCAAGAGGAGAGAGGCAGGAGGAGAAGGGATGTGAGTTAGATGTCCATGTCGCTTTTGATTCGAGCGAGGGCTTTTTGTACCTGCAGAGAGCGAGTTAGACAGGTCGACACCAGCTGGAGTCTGCGGCACCTTGGCTAGCGTGGAAGACAGTTGGGGGCTCATCGTCCTCTCTGTTCCTTCGCTCCTCTTGCTGTTGACGAATCGCGCGAACCCTCCGTCCAGCTTCAGGTCTGACCGTCTCCAGCTCAAGTCCTGCTGGTATGAAGGTCGAGCAGCTGAGGTGGAGGGAAGGGCCGCGCGGCTCTCTTGCAAGCTCTCGAGCAGCTCCGCGTTCAGCTCGTCGGCTGCCTGCCTGGCAATCTTCTCCTCTTCCAGCGCCAGTCGCTCCCGCTTCAGCTGGGTCATCAGCTGGGCGATCTTCGTCTCGTACTCCATGGCCTGCGACACAGCGAAGGCTTGAGGACTGGCGGAGAGGCGGGGGGAGGGGGACACGCTCGAGGAGGAGGAGCCTCCGACTATCCTCTGCTTCAGCTCCTCCACAGCCTGTCGAGCCTTGAGGATGGAGCCCTTGGTCTGTCCGTTGCCGAAGGGAGCAGAGTTGGGCGCGAGCTGGAGAGAGTTGGGAGGGAAAGAAGTCTTCCAGCGCTCGTCCGCGAGTTTGGACTTGAGGAATTTGATCTCGTCCTGCTGGGTCATGAGCTGCCTTCTCAGGCTGTCAAGCTCCTCCATCGCCTCCTCTCGATCCTCTCGCCGTCCTCTCTGGTGCTCCCCACCAACTTGTGCCTTCAGCTCGTCGCTGCTCTTCCGCAGAGCCTCCAGCTCGTCCAGGAGCTGCTCGTTCCTCTTCGAGAGGATGGCACACTTCTCGCCGAGGGAGGAGATCTCCAACTCCTTGTCCTCCACCTCCTGCGACAGGTTTCTGCTGTGCGTGACTTTCATCTGCGCCACCTCCAGCTCCTGCTGAAGCTGCTCCACCATCACCTTGGACTCGCTCAAGTTCGTCTCTAGCGTCTGCGCTTGTCTCCTCTGCTGGTTCAGGCGCTCTCTCTCCGACGAGAGTTCCTCCTGCAGCTCTCTCACCCTCCTCCTGAGCTCGCTGACCTCCAACGGCCTCCCCTGATCCTCCTCCTCCTCACTCGGGCTCCACTTTGCGGTCTTCACCTCTCGCTGTAGCTGGGCTCGCTCCTCCTCCACGCTCCGCAGCGTCACTTCGAGCTCTCCCAGCCTGACCTTGAGCCGGTTGCTCTCCTGGTTCGCCTCTGACAACTTCTGCATCACCTCCTGCAGCTGACCAGCTGAGCTTCTGCTGTCAACTCCGGCTGACAAGCGGCCGCCTCCCTCCTTGTGAGAGGCCTGCAGCATCTCGATCTGCTCCTTGAACCCGGCGATGAGCTTCGCTTTCTCTTCCTCCCACCCCTCCCCTCCTGTCGAGAACCTCGCGGTCCCCCCAGCCTTCAGTCGCTTCAGCTCCTCCTCCAGCTCCGCTTCTCGCTGCGTTGCTGATGACACTTTGTGCTCAGCAGCTGAGAGTTTTATGGACATGTGTGCGATTTGCCTGTCCTTCTCTGCCAGCTTCTCCATGTACAACTTCACCACGCCCTCTGTCGAAGAAGGAAGCGCCATCGACCCGTTCGACATCTCGTACTTCCCGTCCTGTGGCGACATGCTCTTGCTGAAGCTGGACGCGTAGCCGTTTCTTGAGACGAGTTCAAGCGGATCGAGAGCAGGAGGAGGAGGAGGAGAGCGCTGCTCGCTGGAGGAGTCCTGTAGCTCCTTGAGGGTGTCAAGCTCGTCGGGCTCGCAGAAGGCAAGGACGTATGTGTCGCGCGACAGCAGAGGGTCAGCCAAGACTTCGTTGAGGAACTCCTCGAGGCGAGCAGCGAGAAGAGAGAGGCTGACGTTCCCCTGCTGATCAAAGACGAGGTCAAGCTCCAGGGAAGGGACCGCAAAATTGCGATGAGCGTCGAAGGGGTCCAGAGAGCTGGGCATGCTGCTGGGTTTGGAGTAATTACCGATGAGGAACTCGTACAACATCTCAAACTCTGAGAGAGTTCGCGTGATCGACTCGCCGGTTAAGAATCCTTCGCCGTCCACCATCGTCACCGAGAAATCATCGGGGGCTGAGGGCACAGGGCTGACCTACAGGGCTATCAGCCCCTCTTTCTTGCTCGGCTCCCTCCTCACCTTCGCCTGCTTCGAGGGCCTGTGATGCGACGCGAGGGTGTCCACCGGCTGGTTCTGCATGCTAGGAAAGAGGCTGGACGGCTTACCGTCGATGTCAGACGCTCTGGAGACGTCAGGGACGAGGTATCTGTCTTGCGCTCCTTGTGAGAGGTAGCTCGGATGGTCGGGAAACGGCTGGTCGAACCTGGAGGACACAAGGCGTGAGGAGAGGAGGGAGAGACACGGGGAGACATCGAAGAAGACATGAGGAGACAAGCCTGCACATCTCACACTCCTCTCCTGCTCACTGAATCTGCAGCGGCATCGATGACATCCGCCGCAACATCACTCGCTTCACGTGCCCGTCAGATCGATCCGCGTCCTGCCAACCTCTCAGCTGGTCTGCCGGCTCTCTCCCCTTCCCCTTTCAAACCATCAGGTCCAGTGAGACTCTCGTGTTGCTCGGCCCGACTATGCGGTCGAGAATGTCAGGAACGCTCAGACCGCGGATGTCTTGCCCGTCGATGCCGCAGATCCTTTACAAGCAACGTGTCAGTTCGCGGTACAACTCTTCCCAACTCTCCTTCTCACCTGTCGCCTGGTTTCACTTGCCCGCTGCTTTCTGCTGACCCGCCAGCTCGAAGTGAAACAATAACAACGTTTCCCTCACTATCAGCCTCCAGTGAGATCCCGACGCCTGAGTTGTTTTCTGAAGATTCCAGCCTCTTCTTCATCTCTATCTCTTGGTCGTCTCCTCCCCTCCACATCTCATCATGCTCGTTCTCATCCTGCAGACTTGGTGGGCTGCTCTGATTTGACAACCTTTGTGGAAGTTCGGTATCGTAGAGCTGCGGTTCAAACATAGCCTCTTCCTGATTGTCCTCGTACTCCTCCACCTCGTCTTCAGCTTCGAATGTGTCGCTCTGATTCGAAGGGTCCACTCGTTGCATAGGGTAGTCATGAATCTCAATTTCTGATTCCCCTTCCTGGTGGCTCTCGTACCCCTCGGAAAGATCCAAATCGTTGGGATCTGCGCCGTACAGCAAGGCAAGTTGTAGTTTCCCGCCAAAGTGAGAAGAGCCCTCCAGCTCGAAGTCTTGCTTGAGAAGCCTGCAAGAGTTCTTAAAGCTGCCGGCACAGCGATAGATGTATACCTCCCAGCGTAGGCTGCAAGCTCGCTTGTGCTGATGACAGCTCCTCCAAGAAAGGTCGTGACGTCTTTGTTCTCCTCGGGGTCGTAACTCAAGCGCCAAACAGAGCATTCCAGCTGCATGGGGAGTCAAAATCTTCTTAAGTCGATGGCCGCCGACTTGCCTGGGCCTCGCTCGCATTCCGCACGCTGAACAAGAACCCTTCGTTCCATACAATCACGTCGGTCTCGTCTTCTGGCATTGCTTCTGTTCGGCCTTCTTGGACGTCGGACTCATCGCCGTCAAGCACGCGGAGTTGACAGAACACAGGCTCTTGATCGTCGAGAAAGATTCGGCCCTTCTGCTTCAGGCCGCTTGCACTGAGCACTCTGATCATAAGGTTCTCTTCCTTCCCTTCCCCGGCTGAGCTCCTCAATGAGCGCGCCGACGACAGACTAGATGACATGACGTCCATCAAACGCTCTCGGGGATCCCAAACCTGCAGGAGAAAGAATTCTATTAGCATCGGCCTCCCTTTATGCAGTGTCTCTTGCCTTGGGGGTTTTCTCCAACTTCTGGGAAGATGTCATCTTCAATCTTGGAGGCCTATGATGTCTCAGTACTTGTTTTGTGTCATATGTAAAGCCTCGCAAGCATCACAGTTTCACAATCTGCCGTTTGGAAGGAACACAACAACTTAAACGATTTTTCCCATCGTCCTTATCCTTCTCTGCTCTCGGGAACCGATGTTCTCCCTCCCCATCATCTTTCAACTTCTAATTGCTGGTACGTACTCTATGACTTTATCTCTTCTCGATCTTCTTCATAGTCTATGACTTCTTCTCTTCTCGATCTTCTTCATAGTCTATGACTTTATCTCTTCTCGATCTTCTTCATAGTCTATGACTTCTTCTCTTCTCGATCTTCTTCATAGTCTATGACTTCTTCTCTTCTCGATCTTCTTCATAGTCTATGACTTCTTCTCTTCTCGATCTTCTTCACTTCCTCCCTGTTGTAGTTGTTTCAGCTTGTCCCGATTCATCCCAGAGAGCATGCGAGGACATTCTTTTTCGGCCGTTACATCCGTTGATTTTGACATTCGACGAAAAATTAGGTTAGTTTAAAATTCAGTTTTAGAGTAAATTTACCGTACTGAGACAGCCGTTGGGCCCGTTGATAGGCCTCCGTGTGAGTCACTTCTTATCTTTCAATGATGAGTAACTTTTACGCTGGCAGCGCTAGCAGCAACATCTATCGTATGCATTGCAACGAGTAAGAGTTCTGTAACTCACACGACTGCTGCTCCTGTCCCTATCAGCCCATTCTTTCAGCGTGTTTCCTGGACTGTCCAAGGCGGTAAGCATGTCCTGTACCGCGTCGTCAAAACCTGAAATGTATTAGTTGTACTACATTACATAATCTAAATTTCAACGTGGATCGAATGTGTGCTGTCGTATGGAAGTGACATGGACAAACTGAAGGATCATTTCCCATCTACATGAGCAGCTGGAATGGCGTCTTCTTCTTCTTTCTGCGCTCGTGCTCAATCTGTCGCTCCCTCTACGTTGCCTGACGTTGCAAATACCTGATGGTCCAGGCTTGCCCCCTGAGAGTCAATAGGAGCCTCTCGGATATTTTGACTTGTACATCCTACTTAGATCCCATAGCTCTACATAACTTATGGACTGTTTGCAGAAGGTGGCAATCAAGAGTTTTGAATTTAACGAAAGTGTGTGCTTGCCTTCTCCAAAGATAGACGAAATTCAAGCTCACTGTTCTCACAAACAAGTTGAGCTCGTTGCGGGCAAAAAAGTGAAATTCAAGCTCACTGTTCCCACAAACAAGTTGAGCTCTCCGTCTGAGACCTCTTCACTTGATAAGCCTAACAGCAATAGGAACAAACACTATCCACAGTCCCTATTTCAAGTCACCATGGGTACCCTTTGATATCATGCAGCACTACTGGCCCTGCAGGCACCAATGGGGCAGGAGGGATGCAAGATGGAATCTGTGAAGTGACGTTTGGGAACTACTCATAAATAACACAGGATTGTCGACTTCCCGTGTCTGTGAAATGCATTGGCAGAGAATAAAGTACAGTACTATCCTTTCACCGATTTCTCCGATCTTCAAAGCCATTGAGCATATATGCTGCGTCTCCAGCCGCTACTGCTGTGTTTTTTCTCACTGCAATGCAATTTCGCTTGAATTCGTTTGCTCTCAGGTCTAAAGACTGGAGATGCAGACGACGATCAGAGAAATGTGTTGATGAAATCAACAAAGCACCTTATATGTTTTCATATCTTCACTTTCATGGCAAGCCGCATCAGCTGATGACGCCTGAGTGTTTCACAGCTGCGACATCTTGATGAAACGTTATTTCAAAGCTTGTGAACACGCTGATCCTGACCCTCCGCCTTGGTCCAAGTCGATCTTGAAGTAGTACACTTCTTTGCAAGTCGGAGGGGTGAGTGGGTGCGGCGGGGGGGGAGGGGAATTGTCAATCATAGCAATCATAGTATGTTTACATTTACTAAATGTCCGAGCCCAACTTGGCAAGCTGGGCTGATTGATTCAGGCTCCCGGCGACAACTCCAAACAGCACTTGATCGGGTGACTCAGTGAAGCGTGTAAGTAAGCGGCCGCTGAACCCGGCCCTGAGTTCAAAGTTCACTGGCCGGGCCCATCTCGATCACTCTAAAATCTGTCCAGCATATCATCAAGCCTGGACTGGTACCTCGTCTTTGTGTTCTCGTCTTCTGAGCTGAAATGGAAACCAAACACCCTCTTGAAGGTCTCGATGTCTATCTGCAGCAGGCAATGAAGTTACCAGGCTCTCATCCCCCTCCCAACTTCCTTTCAGTCGCCTTACATGGTCGAAGTCCGACTCCCTCCTCGCAAGCCCCACAGACGCCTTGAGGTTCTCTAGATGCTGGGCCTCCGGACATAAGGTCCTGAGGTTCTCCTCGATGTCATGGAGGTTGACCTTGAAGTTGCGGTAGGAGGGGAAGCGTTTGAAGATGGTCGACATGCTGTCTTGTCCCCGAAAAGAGGTTCGCTTGGAATACTTGCTTGTTTGGATAAGCCGTGATTGGCAACACTTGGGTGTTTGGATGAGTCATGATGGGAAATACTTGGTTGCTTTGATATGGCGTGTATGTTACTCATGCTGGCACTTATATGCGCTTTGCAGGCCGAGGCCGATGATTCAAGATGCTGTTCTAGATCTCCCTGTGTAGGACAACAACCCAAGTAGGATTCTACTCCCCCCATGCTCAATCTGTTTCATAAGTGAAAGTGGAGCACTGATTTCAGGAAAGAATCAGCTCTGAACTAAGATGGGAATGGAGGATCAGATTCACGCAACACCTCAAGATGACTCTGAGATATTCTCCGATCCCCCGACTCCAGTAGGTGAATCTCCATGAAGACAGCAAGAACTCAATTAGTCAAGACAGAGTGTGCGTCTGAGAGCAGCTCCAGTGTTGTGTGTGGAATCAATCGAATGGTTCAATCATGCATGGAAAGGTTTTACCCGTGTGTATGCCTGTGTGCTGTGGAGGAAGTGAGATTGACATTTTTTTGGCAGAGCTTTCGCTTAGGACGGCAGAGGAGGAGAAGCTTGTATTAGCACGTCGAGCACATGTAGAAGTTGGGAGTTGAAGAGGGAAAAAAAATAAAAGCTAGGTTGTAGCATGGTCATAGGAGGAAGAACGATTCATGATTCCCGCTCTTGTCAAGATTCTCAGATCCCTCGTACAAGTTGAGGAGACCAGATCGCATGCAGCTTGTGGAAGAAAAGACGCTCAGCTCTCTCTATTCTATCCTACATCATCTCTCTCCTACAGGCTTTACAGTCACTTCCTCCGATCAAATGTCTTGCTGCCTCAATCATTCCTCTCTCCTATTAGCCTCCTCGGCTTCATCCGCAGCTGCCTTGGAAGGGCCTCAGGCTCCTGCTCCTGCATGTGACGTCAGATCACGAGCATCGCCCATCCCTCTCTCCTCACCTCCTGTCGCTCTTTCTTTCGCTTGGACGGAGTCTTCTTGGAGGTCAGCGGCGTCATTGCCGAGCTGGGAGTGTTGGTCACATTAGAGGGCATGATCTTGGATCCTGCAGTTGGGGGAGAGCCGGGGGTCTTGAGCTTGCTCTCGAGCTCTGAGATCTCGATAAACGTGTCGCGGATCACCTGAGGAGAAAGGACCAGGTCAGGTGAGATCCTTGCAGCTTCTTCAGCCCTTGCCTGCATCTTCTTCTCGATCCGCATAAGGTCGTGCTCCTGCTGCTTCAGCGTCGAGTATCTTGAGCAGCGAAGCAGGTCGAGGAGACCCAACCTCGTGTGAGTCGACTTTCTGTTGCTGACCTTTCTCCTTCCGTTCCACATCAGCACCTTGTTCGGAGCATCTAGCCCCACCATCATGTCGCCTCGGCGAGCAGCGCGTTGATAGTACCGTGTCGCCTGCTCGAGCTTTTCGAAGATAATGAGATCGCTGAACAGGTGCTCTGCAAGCATGCAAAGCTTCTCTTCAGTAGCAGCATCGTGCCGCTTCTCCAACCTAATAAATTCACTCGCTCGCCCTAGCGCCTCCGGCACTCGATCTGCTTGCAGCACATGAGACAGAGAGTCGAGGGAGGCGACAGCGATAGTCTTGCACTTCGAGTCGTTACAGATCCTGTCCAACTGGCTGTTGCAGTCTGAGACAGTCTGGAAGACGACACAGTCCAGATCTTCACCGTAGGCTGTTGACAGTGCGGTCTGAATGTCTGAGGACCTTACATGATCTATCAAGTACAATGTTGATACACAACCCAACGCTTTGCACTCTCTGAAAAGCCTCACGTTGCTCAAGGCCATCTTGTTGTGTAGCCTATTTGAATCGCTTTCCACTTTCGACTTCTCTCTCTGCACGGTTTCTTTGATCACTGCAACATGTGCAAGCATTTTCTCGCAATACTTGTCCACCTCAGGATCTTGCGCTGAGGGAGGAGGAGCGTAGAAGGATCGGATTTCAGCGCACAACAAGTCTGCCTTCGGGAGATTTTCCATGGCATTTGACATTGTACTGTACAACCCTGATAGTTTCACTCGCATCTCAAGTGCTGCCCGCTCCATTTCCTCCTCCCTTCTCCTCGCGTCACCAAGCTCCAAGTCGCCTTTGCCATCGTTCAGTCCTGTCTCCATACCATCGTCCTCCTCCTCCACAACGTTTGCGTCTCCATCGTCACTGATCTCTGGATCTGGAGGAGGAATTTTCAGCGTGAAGTCAGAGATCGGCTTCAAGGGGATGTTGCTGTTGAGACGAAACTTGACATTGCAGGATGGCGCAGGCCTTTGGGCTCTACGCTGACGGATCAGGCTGAAACCACCCGTGCCCTTGGACACGCTTGCGCCCAGGGCGACTGTCTCAGCTGTGATCCTGAAGTTTGCATCCTTGTTAAGCTTCGGCAGCACTGAAACTTTCCAGTCCCTGATAGGATGAAAATCTGACGCGTTTCCTCCTCGATCGCATGCTTGCACATCATAGCTCCACTGTAGACGATGAGATGGGAGGGAAGGGACTAGTTCCATCTTCAGCTGCTCGACAGCTCCTGGAGAACGAGCGTGAGGAGGAAACAACAACAAGAACAACATCGAGAAGAAGCAACATCAAGCAACAAGCAACAACAGTCAGACTCACCTGCCCACACTTTCACCCCGCAGCCGCTGGATCGGATGCTCTCAGCTCCAGCGTAGGATGCGCGTGTATCAGTGAAGACGGCGTGAACTTCAAAGTTTCCTACCCGAAAGAGGGTGAAGGAGATCTGAAGGCTGTTACCCTCAAAGCTGCCGTACTTCATCTCTACCACACGATCTTCGATGTAGAGCTTCACGTCGGGCCTCTCGTTCTGCATCTCAAGACCTCTCTTGTCCTCAGTGTGAAATTCAATGGTAGCGAGGAACTGAGCTCGTCCGATCGTCTCATCGTCCCTGTACTCAAGGTGCCTCTGCTCCTCTTGTATCTTCATCGCAATATTCATCACATGGTTGCAAGTGTTTGCGATGACTTTGAAGTTGTAAGCCGTTATCTTCCCCGTACATCTTATTTCTGCGTTGTGCTCGCCAGCGGAAAGGGGAGGAACTTTTCTCAGCTTGAAGCACGTTCCGATCAAGGGATCAGACACCTTGACAAGCTTGACAGCCTCCAATCGTATTTTCATGTAGAGGTCACCATCGCTTGACTCTGACAAGTTGTTCCCAGCTGCATCTGCCACGATGAATGTGACGTCACAGGGGTGCTGAGACTTGCTGTCTACCGACATGCAAAAAGTCGCCTGCGCCGGTTCCACGCAGATCTTCTCGGGTTTGCCAATAAGGGGATGGACGTCAAGTGGAATGGGGGCAAGATCGTAGACTTGGAGATCCTTGTCGACCTTTACTTGGAGCCCGAGCTTCAGTGAACCCTTGGCCGGTCTTGACAGGAGACGAGCTCTGATCCCTCTTACCTGCGAACCCGTGACCTTCATGTAGCTCAGCACATCTTGGTCCTTCACAACAACAGACCCAGAATCATACATGACGACCTTCCCTTCAGCCTGATCATCTTGAACTTGGTCGTACTCAAAAGACAAGGGAATCACGGATACCAGACGTACGTCTACATTTTCTGACGAATCGATTGGGTTGCCAACTCCATCAACAATCTCTCCTCGCAGCTCGAACAGCTCACCAACAGTCACCGTCAGCGTGTCTATAAGAGATAATCTCAACATCTTCGGAGCTCCAGCCCTCACAAGCACATTCAGCGAATATTTGCACAACCTGGTATCATTGTCGCCATCGCGCACATGCACTGATATCGTCTGCTTGCTGTTTCTTTCCACATGCAAGCTCGGCAAGACCACTGGTTCATCCAGAGCATTGCTGTTGACCTGTAGACCCTGCTCGTCCCAGCTACACTCCACCATCAACTTTGTAGAGACGATCAAGTTTTCCTTGCAGCTCTGGTTGGCCTCGTCGGTGACCTCAAGCTGCAAGTTTGAAATCTGCTCGTCGTGCTCTGTGACGATCCTGGCTTCTCTTTCTTGATGTTGGGACATGGTATATGCCAGCTCCTCCCCTGCTCGGAGCAGCTTGAGCCTCTTAGGAGTCCTACTGGAGAGCATCGTCTTGGTAATCCTCGTGTGCAGCAGCTCCTGGTCGGTCTCGTAGAACAAGTCCAAATTTGCCTGCAAGCTCCGAGGAAGGTCCTCCAAGTCAGCAAAGAACACATTGTCATCCAAGGCGTCAGGGTCGATGGAGTGTTTGAGAGATCTGTGGAGTACAAAGATGCGCCCGGAGATAGCGAGAGGGTCGAGATCTTCTTCATCTTGCGATTGCGTCAGCATACGAGAACACTTCTCGAGCTCAAAGTAAGTTGCTCTGATTGCCGTCTCAGGTTTTGCTGTGGTTATTTCCGTTTGATTCAAGACTGAGCTGATCCTGGCGTACAGGGTGAGCTTGGGATAGGTCTTGCGATGATCTCCCTTGCGCAAGATCTCCTTGGTTTCAAGCAAAATAAAGTCACCCTCTTGGAAAAAACCATGATCGTTGTGAAACACTCCAATCGGAGTTGCCTGCTTCGAAGTTGTCTCCCTCCATCGGTTCATGAGCTGCTCATTGACTATCGGATCTTTCTGCTTGGATGCTTTCAGATTGGAAGAGCGTGGAGCTCTGGCACATTTGAACAAACGGCTCATGCAGCTGGGCTGCAGTTCACAAGCTCCCATTCTGACTTCTTTCTTTTCCCAGCTCGCTCTGTTTGCAAACAACAGGTCTGGGCTGGTGAGGTAGAGATTGCGCTGGGTGCTACCTTCACAAACATTGCTGCTTGCGTCTCGAATATCAACATCTGCATCGAAGTCTCCGTAGTTGATGAACTCTGTCGCAGGACCTTGAAGTTGTATGAAGTATGGAGTTCCGTGCTGCACTTGCATGCAGATTTCGTTCTCCACTCTATGACCCGTACGCGTGTGCGTTATGATGATGCGAGCTCGGTATGACCCAACGAGGGCGCGGTTCACGCAGAGGTCTGAAATGCTTACAACGGACTCACCGAAGCTCGGGTTGAAAGTCAGCGACAACATTTGCGCTTGGGTTTCATCGACAACGACATCAAGCCGGTGAACGCGTCCGAGGAGCAAGATGTTGTTTTGATATTCATCTTCGATTCTGAGCTCGTATGAGCACGCCTTGCCTATCGTTTGATAGATTGTTGAAGTACGTGGATAGAGGAAAACGTCGTTCATCTTCGTGGGGACGATCTTGAAGTTCAAGGGAACGCTACTGAAAGATTGCCCGGATTTCGGTTTGACTTCGAAGGTGTACAGATCAGCAATTCGCGAAAATTTGTTCAGCACTTCAGTGGGCCATCCAGGCTTGGCAATAGGCATATTGAAAGCATCTTTGAAGTTTTTCGAACCTGTCACAGTCACTTCCACCATGGCGGAGTTGTTTGAGATGTTGGTATTCTTGGAGTTTTTGAAGATTAGCTTAGGAAATTCAATGCTGGAACCAGCCTCAAATCTTTCGTTTCTCAGCTCAGGGATCACTTTTCGAACTATCGACTCCTCGTTCTGAGATTTGACAGCCTCGAGTTGATCATCTGTGATCGTCGACATCGAGAACGCTGGTATCTTGTACCTCTTCTCTGTGTAGCTGTTGTTCGAAGCTAGCTCTATGATCTCAACTTCTCCAGAGCAGTTGTTTTTGATAAAGTGATCGTCCTGTAGAAGTCTCTTTATCGTGCCCACATGTTCCTCGGAGGCATTGTTTTTCCCTCCTATCTCCTTGTACACCTTGACCAACTGGCCAAGTGAAAACGTTTCATCGCAGAAGACCACCTTATCGTGTTCAGAAACATCCTGTGCTTTGATGTACTGGGGGTTTTCACCCTCGAAAGAAACTTCAGCATCGTACTTGAGGTGACATTCTTTCAGCCACAGGTCGTACGTCTGACGAAGTTGCTCTGATTCCAGCGCAGAGATCAAATTATTCAGACATTTTCCATTCTTTCTGAACATAGTCTTGTCTGCTCCTGGCTCAATTCCCCGGTCCACAAACATGACCCCAAATGTGCGGTCGTAGCAGCGCTCGGGAGCTTTCAGAGGCTTCTCCCGTGGGAACTTCATGAAGTTAGGAACAAAATGCTCTTCAGTTAGCCATCGTCCCATCCAAAACGTCATGAACCGACGTTTGTTCCCGGAGGATTGTCCGACGACCTCGTCTACCGCAGGCACAGTTTCCATCTCCCGCAGCCTTGGGAAATAGAACACCGCTCCAGTCACGATTGACCTCTTTTTGCTTTCGAGCTCGACCTCCACGTAGATCGGGAAGAAATCCTTGGGATGACTTCCGAGCATCTGATCCAAGCAGCATGTTGAGTCTGAGAGTCGGTATACGTGAGGAGCAGCGGAGGTCTCAAAGATCACTCGGAACTCGATGGTAATATGATCGTTGGTATCCTCCATCTTATACCTCTCCATCGCCTCCTTGACTTTTTCCATGTCGGACTTGAACCTCTCTACCGCTTTAGGCACGCGACCTGACCTTGCAGGTTTCATCATACAAGACCTATGCCAGTGGTTCAAGACGTGGTCTACCAACCTGTTGCTTCCCGAGTTCTCCCTTTGAACGCAGAGGTAGTACATGGCCCGCAAGTTCGTCAGAAACTGTTCCAGCACTTGGAATGAGACAGCACCATCTCTACAAAAGAATTCGTCGAACCGAAATTTATGCACCTCGATCTTGCAGAAACTTGCCGCTGCCTCCTCACCATCTCTCAGCGACCTTGTGACCAGGTTGACTTTGAAATCGTCCTCGTCTAGCTCTCTCACAATATGCACCAAGGATCGCATGTTCCTCGTCTTGCTACTAGTGACGAATGTTTCCCCAAGAGCCTTACAAGCATTCTTTGTTCCAACACCGTAGCGTGAAAGTGTTCCTTTCATGTACCTTCCGAACGAGATTGGACCATCATGAAGATCAGTATCCTGTGCTGGCGCCTCTTGCTTCGATCCGAGCGTGTGCATCCTGACGGGGCTGCTGCAACCGATCCCGTTATCACAGAAAGTCAAAGTCTTCTCGACCCCGTTGAGGGTAATTTGGATGCTCCTGGGCTCAGGATCTGGATTACAGAGCATGTGCTGGATGGAGTTATCGACAAGCTCTCCCATTGCTGTCAAGAAGGAGTAGGGTGCAGCAGACGCCCTCATCAGCGCCTGCTTTCGTGGCAAAGTGTCTGCAATGGACTCGCAAAAGATCTCCCCTTGCCCTGAAATTGCTTTCATGTTTGTTCTCACAGACCTCAGCTGCTCTACTTGCCTGGAGGGAGGAGGAAGAGCCTGTACTTGTTTCCATCTCCGAAGTCAAGAAAGTCCAGCGAACTGATCTCTTCGACACTGTCAGATGTACACAATTTCGGCGCTAAAGATGCATCCTGTTGATTTTCATCATTTGTGAGGGGGGAGGATGAGATGGAGAAGGAGGTGAGGGAACGTACATGCTGCGACAACCCGAGAGTCTCCATAACATGCGATACAAATTTTTTCACGTCTGAGAATCTCCGTACGAAGTCCAGTTCAAAGCTGATTGGGTTGAGGCTGTTGAAATGTTAGATTGGAAACATATGATGAAATGATCTATATGACATGCCTGTTTGTTGGATGGTTGCGCAGTTGGTGGATAGAGTTGTCTACAACAACCTCGACAAGTTTCTGATTCATGGTAGAAAGAAATTGAAGGTTTAGTATTCAAGGGCAAGGCGAGCTGAGGATTGAGGAGAGGAGAAGAGATGACAGGAGGTGAGGGGAGGGGAGAGGGGAGGGAAGGACAAGACAGGGACGTAAGTCAGGTGGTGGGGTATGGTTTGTGGAAAAATGTGGGGTACACAGTGTGAGGGTGGTTGCTGAGAAACCAGCATTAAGTAAAACGTGTAGATACATTTAAAACAAAATAATACAATTATGGTACAAAAATTCTGTCCCTCTTTTACAAAACAAATTCAACTACCCCTCTGAAACATATTTTTATCTACCACCTCTACCCCCACCCCACCCCACCCCACCCCACCCCAAATTCGTCGGGAATGACGGGTCATAAACTGTAACCGGCACTGGGAGACCAAGAACTGAGAAAAGTCATGCTAGGAAATGTGCCAATAAATTGCCAGAACAATTCAGACATCTTGCCCGCCTTTCCTTCAGGGTCGACGTCAATCGGCATCTTGTTTCATTGTAAAGATGTCTGCCGTTCTACATCCGAACGAGGTCTTGTACTCTGATCCCGACAAGGGAGACCAGCCCGTTCCTACCGGTCTGGACGTGTGGAAACGACCAAAGTCCACTTGTGGAGACAGTCATGAGAGACAGCCACCAAAACCTGCGCAGGTCTCTGAAACGTGAGGAGGTGATGTGGACCCCGGCCGCAGGAAGTGATCACGAAACCACCTGGCCAACGCAGCTTCTGATGCCCTCCATCATCAACTTCACCAGTGGCAGGTCTCAGAGCATTTCTTGTGCTTGGTGCGCTGCCCCTATGAACTGCCTTAAGACATGTGCCAGCTCCCTCCTCGTTTCTGCTGTGGACTACTTCAAGATGCAGGAGAGGATGAAGTTGATGGAAAAGGATACTGATGCATCCAAGAAGCTCACTAGCGTCGCCTGTGTCTACATGTGCTGCAAGTGTGTTCGCCAGACGGATTTCTGCCAGATCTTTAGGTATCTTGGTGGATTTGCACGTAAGTACGAGATGAAGGACAACATCATGGTTGGAAGCCATCACTTGGTCAACCCGAAAGGGGTAACCATTTAACCCGGTATGATATGCATTGGCTATTCCGAAGTGGATGGCAACATTCCTGGGTTCGTTGGCCAGCACTACAAACACTACAACAGTGCGCTCAAGTTGTTGGTCAATGGTGTGACCTTTGCTAACGTCATGCAGTACGCGTCGAATCAAGACAAGGTTCCCTGCACCCGTTTGCGCAAACTCTGACACTCTCAAGAGGTTGATACTGGATCAATCCCATATGTTTACGGATGATGAGCTGTTGAACCCTCCCTCGGATGACCCCAGGGTGTCCTTCAAGAGTATGCGCAAGAGGAAACATTCCCCGATGATTGGCGGACAAAAAGGGATTTTCTGACTACATGAAGGTCATCACCGATTTCCGCTTGCAAATTCGCAAGTGTATGTTTTGTGTGTACCAGGATTCGTTTGTCCCGGATGAAGCATTTGAACGACATTCGCTCGTCCGTTGCTGCGATTGAGAGACTATGGTCTTTCCTGTCCGCTGAACAGAGACCTTTCTACAGAGATCTCACCATCTTGATGTTGCCAACCATTGAGGAGAGCAAGAATATTTGCGATGGGTATTTTGAGTTTCCTCTTTTCAATGTTCTCTTGAAGTTTGAAAAACGCATGTGTGTTTTGGACAGAAAATAGATCTTTTGGGGTAATGAATAAAGACGAAGATTGCATCGCTCTGGATTGTTTCCCGGATTCCCTGTACACGTATGGAAACTTGAGCAGGGTGACGATCCTCACCATGGCCACAAGCCTGGTGACGTCAATGTGCACCTGTTGTAAAGAAGGGGGCAGACACCTGAATGTGCCAAGCTCTGCAGATGCTCCTGGCAACGCAGATCGTAGGCCTGCAGGTCCACCATCTCATTCAACGCGTTGTAGATGCAATTCATCTCCCGTGTTGTCATGATGCAGTTCAGTGAATTGTCTCTGATGAAACAAGTTGTTCTTCGTTTCGCTATCCACTTATATAGTCACGCACATATTAAGGAGCTATTTCACCCGCTTAGGAACAGGACCCAGGGGAAGGCATGCATAGATTATCGGCACTACTCAACTCAGGGGAAGCAGGATTTCTTTCCGAAGATGTCGAAGAGGCGTTAATCCTCGAGGGAAACAATGGTTGAGAACCAGTGGAAGACAGATTTCAATCCTCATTCACTTCTCATTTTTACTTCATATGATTAGCTTCAGTCTCCCAGTACGTACATGATCATTTACGAGGTCAACATCAACAAGGACTCAGACCGTTGCCTTGCATAGTCAACTTGCAACTTTCAAGGTGCAACTGGTCGCAGATTTTGTTGCACTTGTGCATTTCAAAGAAATCCCTTCAAACACAGTCAGGTCAAATCAAATAGCATACACAAGAACAAGGAACCTGATCGCAGAAAGTCCTTTATCTCCTGTACATCAGATTCAAAGATTCGAACTCATGGAAGATTTCAGTTACCTGCTCCGAATTCCAAATTTTCTACAGATTGAATGCTCCAACAAATGAGATATTTTCCAGCTCGCTTTACGCTCGAGACCAAGAATCGTCGGTTACTTGCTTTCCAAGTGAAATGCATGAATGCTTCGATCACGTCGCTCACATGACGTGAGTCAGGGTCTCCACTCTCCTCCATCAGGTTGGGTACGAACTGCTCGTAATTGATCAAGAGGCCATCGCGATCGACCAGCTTCAAGACCCCCATCTGCAAGAACTCCAGCTTAGGTTCCACCCCTTGCAGGTGTAACATGTTCGCGTAGTCTGATGCCAGCACCTGTACATCGAAGTCAGCATCCCTCTGATACTAAAGCATGTAATTGCCTGCATGATAGCGCGATTGAAAGGCGAATCCGAATGAGCCGAACCTGATTTAGACGCCCTGGGGATGGGCCACTTGGAGATGAAAATTGAATCATCCAGCGTGAAATCATGGTTCACTTCCCATGTCATGTATGACTCATATCTCTTATCCCTTGTCAAAGGTCTGCTCGCAAAGAGAACGTGCTGCTCGAAACTTCTCCAGCAGTCCTCATCGTGGTCATAAACAAACTTCAGAACTTTCTCAACGGCTGCAGTTCTTGGGATCAAATCGATCTCTGCTCGCGGTGTTTCAACCTTTGACAACAAGACGCTCGAGATAGATGGACCTGAGGTGCTCAACTGCAAGCATGAGCCAGAACCCGATCCAAGGTCCTCGGGAAGAAGTTTCTCCATGGGCTGGGCCGTCGTCGCTTGCCTCTCGAATCTGAGCTGCTTGAGATTGCCATGCTTCAAGATAGCATGGCCTATAAACCAATCACTCAAAGTCCAAACATTGTAAATCTTGGTCTTCGCATGCAAAAGTATATCAGCAAATCTTGAGAGGCTCTGATAGAATCTGCAGAATTCCTTCCAGAGGTAAAAAATCATTTGTTTGTAATACAATTTTTGTTGTCTCACAGAAAGCAACGTGTGAGACTTGAGGAAGAGACTATGAATATCGGACCATATCTTCCAGCTCAGCATGATTTTCTTGAGCAAAAAGAAGGAAAGCTGAAATGTTTGTTCATCGATCTGCCACTCAAGCCTCCGGATGCTGACTGTACGATGGACCCAAGCACCAAAAATCCTCACACTGGCCCTATGTACTCCTAATGCTGAAAAGACAATTTGCTTCTCTTGAGATTCAGAGCTAGGAACCACATACTTCCACCATTTCTGAAATACTGCATACTCTGAATTGAGCGATGCTCTTGATTGCATACCATTTACAAATAGCGCCAATTTTCTTCTCACCTGATAATGCTCCCTCCAACGACGGAGGACAATGATTTTTAACCGCCTTTTGTAACTTGAGCTGAGACGATTCTGCACTAATTGAGTATGCTTTACTCGATTCTTCGATGTATTCCATGCTGCAAAAGCATTTCGCAGATGCTTTTGTATTGCTCTCCAGTACAGAGATGATCCGTTCTTGAGAATCGAAAATATTTGCCTCTTTCTTGACATCCAGAAGGAGAAATAATACAATAAACAAAAGCATTTTCTCCGAGAAAGAAAATGAAGCAAAATTCTTTTTCGAATCTTTGCTTTACTTGTTGTAATATTCCACGACAATAATTTTCTGCTGAGATTCCTTCGAATGATACTGTTGTGTAAAATCAATTGTTGAGTCAAATGAAATCGACCATGGCGTGATAGGGATTTCCATAAGATGAACCATGCAAACCTACAGCGCCTGACACAATTTGGAACCAGTTTTATCCAGAGTTTTGATTGCGCTTCTCTCGCAAAAAGAAGAACTTTCCAGCATTTTAGCTTTGCTCGAGCTGTTCTGTTGCCCTGTATTTTTGAAGCATGCTGTTCAATCCAAAATAAATCCAGTCTTCGTCGACTGAACCCTTTCCAACAAAAGAAACGCTGTGATTTAGAAATGTCCTGAATCAGCCTGATCAATTGGATGTACGCTCTGCGTCGTCTATTACAGATATACGTATGATGATACCATTCCAGACAGATAGACAAGATGTATTGCTCAACATGTTTGCTCACCATTTCCTGACAGGATATGTCAATATCCTTTGAGCTGTCAAGAAACCACTTCCATGTTTTAACACAACGTTCTAACAACAAATAATACTTTCGCTGCCATACTTGCTGGACTCTCTTTCTCAAGAAGCTGCGGGAAATGGACACTTCCTTCCAAACACAAAACAATGTCATAGAATGTGAGAAGATATTTGAAAATATTGCAGCTTTGCTCCTTGAAATTCTCCATTGTGTCAAATGCAAATCAAACCATCTCAGAAATACTCCTGACAAAACTTTCAAATCCGACGATTTTCGGAAACAATCCCTTGAAGCTCTTCCATGCTGCCCAAGAAATACAGCATCCTTCCATGAATTGAGCGCACGCCCTTCTGCTATGTGTGCCATCCGTGCTCTGACTCGTAGCGCTGCCTTCCGGTACCTTCGCTGCTCCCATATGCTCTCCTGCCAACGTAACCAGGTCTTCCCGACGCATCGATCGTGTCCCCACGACCGTATGCGGGCGGCCACCCCCCTCATTCGGACCAGCTCGCCCGCACACTCCCTCCATGACCGCATCGTCTTCCGGCAAATCGCGGATCGAGATCGCAGGCTGACATGCCTGAGGCTTATCGCTACCTCTGTGCGGTGTCGCCACGAGTTGATTGCTCGACTGGCTCCAAGCATCCGCATCCGCGTCAGTACCTGCTTGCACACCTTGCGAGCTCCCCTCGATCTTTGTGCTCTCTCCCACCAGCTCCAAAACGCACGCCCTTCTGCTATGTGTGCCATCCGTGCTCTGACTCGTAGCGCTGCCTTCCGGTACCTTCGCTGCTCCCATATGCTCTCCTGCCAACGTAACCAGGTCTTCCCGACGCATCGATCGTGTCCCCACGACCGTATGCGGGCGGCCACCCCCCTCATTCGGACCAGCTCGCCCGCACACTCCCTCCATGACCGCATCGTCTTCCGGCAAATCGCGGATCGAGATCGCAGGCTGACATGCCTGAGGCTTATCGCTACCTCTGTGCGGTGTCGCCACGAGTTGATTGCTCGACTGGCTCCAAGCATCCGCATCCGCGTCAGTACCTGCTTGCACACCTTGCGAGCTCCCCTCGATCTTTGTGCTCTCTCCCACCATTGACGCAAAGATGTTTTGCTTCTAGTTAAGTCGGACTTGAGTGAGATGAGGCTCTTGAAGTGTCTCGTTTGCCTGGAGCGGTGATTTAGAGAGAACCAGTGTGAAATCAATGTTAGATATTGATGTCTAAGAATCTCTGAACCCTGCTGACAAGCGTCGTTTGATAAGTGCTTCGAAAATTTGAACTCTCGGAGAAGTTGGAAGAAAGATGAATGAAGAATTTTCACCCGAATAAGTGATTCAATGCAGGCTGTCGGTCTATTCTGCATGGAAGTGCTACAGCAACTGCAAACAAATGAAGAATTAAGTTTTAGACCTCGTGCATGCAAGATCCGACAGGTATCGAACATTCGTCTTTTTGAACCCTGCCAACTCAAAATACAATTTTTAAGTACGTGTGATTTGACTCGTCGATGGATACCAGCGACAGTCGTTCTTACGATACGTTTCGACCTCCACAACATAATCCATATTGACATATGTCGTCTCTGTAATATCTGAAGACTTGTAGCAAGGTTCACGATGCTCTGTACTCTTCTGGTAGTCAAAGAGACCAGAGCAGTAGCATGTCTAGCCCAAGCATTGAAAACCGAAAGTTTTATACAGTGATTTGAAACCGAGATTTCATGTTTGAATTGCAGGCATAAGTCAGACCATGCATCCAGATAACATTTCTTGAAACCATATTTATTCTTCTTCACGAACTCTGAGGTCTTGATTCGCTTCTGTCGAGAACGAATGCAGTATCTTCTCCACGCACGAAAGCAAGAAACTTGCAGGTTCCAACGCGTCTTACAATACATTTTGTAAATCCAACTCTTCCATCGCCTTTCTCTCGAACAAACTGCACACAACTTATGCATGGTAGAAAGCTTTCTTTTCTTGATAACTCTTGTGGACAACTTTGAGGAACATTTTTTCAACTTCAACAAAGAAAGAAACAAGTCAAAGCAGGCTGCCATCAGCTTTGATGTTCTTCCCGAATGAAACAAGACCAGAACAGACCTCTTGCGACGCAAGAAAAGCATCATATATAGCCATTCAGTAAAATTAAGTTGCATGCGTTTGAATTTCAACTTCCATCTGAACGAAATCACAACCCTCCGTACTGAGATCGTTTTGAGCCATATTCTAAACATCATGGATTGAATACGATGCTGCTTTCTAAAAATGACGACCATTTCAATTTTGCGGTGATAACAATTGGATGCAGTGTAGATTTTCAAGGAGTCGAGATACTTATGCATGTGCAAGAGTTTTGTGTACTTGGATAAGATTGCGCTAACAGAAAGGGAATTCTTGAGCGCACGACATTTTCTCCATCTCTCAAAAATTTCATAAGTAGAACTTCGACGTAAAATTTGAGCTTTGGACTGGAGGCTCGATGAGGCTCTCTTAAGAACTTGTTTTCTTCGGCAAAGAAGCATCCAACTGTCAATCACATGCGCGAGAATTGCAGCCATCCTTTTGACAACTGATCGTGTAACTTTCTTTGAAATCTTAATCTTATGGTGGACTACCCAGGAGAGCGCTTTGAGCCAAAAGAATTTTGCTTTGAGTGCCCTGTTCGAATGTAAGATTTGTATTGCCATTCGAATGTGTCTGATCCTCATATATGATTGCTTCCAACGAGTTAATATGACAAATAGAATCCGATACAGGCCTTGGCAGAATACGCCTGTTCTCATTGTCTGAGAGGTGACAGCAGGATTTGAGCTGACAAGATGCATGCAGAACGATTTGATTTGGAAAACGTCAACAAGTTTTCTCTTCCAAACCTCTGTCACTTTCGTCCAAGTGTAGAGCCTAAGTCCATTATAAGTTGACATTAGCAACCTCATCTGATGTTTTGACAATATCAGAGCTTTTCGAAATTCCTCATCCGTGCTTTCATCTTGTTCGATTATCTTCGCATCAATAACCTCAATGTCACCACACCATTTCCGAAATGGACTCTGGGGATCAAAAACTTGGCTCAAAAACTCAACAGCAAGGTCGCAAGTTTTTCTTTGATCGACCTTGTTTCGTTCTCTACTGGGCAAGACGAGAACAGCCCATGTCGATTTCTCATTGTCTTGACTGGAGAGTCTGCTGGTGACACGAACTCGATTTGAGGGAAGAGCCAGGGACATCGCAACCCAACTCCACAGAGTCTTGCGAAATTCACTGCCAGTGAAATGTCTGAACGAGATGAAGATCAGCTTTGGATCATTTGGATCATTCATAGTGGTGAACATCGAGGACGAGGATTCAAACAAGTGTTTCTTGCTCTGAAAATTCATGGCTTCACCTGTTGCTCTGCTCATGGCTTCAACCACATGTTGCTCTGCTCATGGTTCCACTCATGGCTTCCGCATCTCCCCCATTACCTTGCACACATCCTGCTAATAATAAGCCATAAAAGCCGCTCTCCCGCCGTCAATCAAAATCATACCTTTTACTTAAGTGGAAGGACAAGCAGATCCAGCTAGGGAGGAAAGGGTAAATCAACGAGTCCGCCTCATCAAGAGACTACAAGAAAGGAATAGGCAGCGAAAACCTCTACTCCGAACCAGAAATCAGTACTGTTCAACGTTGTACTGACATGTACAAGCAGCCGGGGCGACCTGGCGCACTCAGTTCTCAGCCGTGACCGGGGCCAGACCAGTTGCTGGTGAATACAGCCCCTCATCAGTACTTCTAAGACGCCAAACTTCTTGGCTATTTCTCATTCATGTCACAGTGATGTGAGGCTCCTCAATTCTGGTTTCGTGTGCATTAAACTCGGTCTTGAGCAAAAACTGTCTTGTTACAACTCAGTTAGTAAGGTTGATATCGCATGTCTGCATTCAACTTTGGCCGCAAACGGTACCGTCACGTGAAGGCTAAACGTGACTCAGTGAAACTTATGAGTGACGGCTCCGTCCGAGTCGTCATGACTTTGACAGGATGGTGACAAAGGAAGTCACAACCGTTGAACTCCAGTGGCAATGATGAGTCTGATGCTGAGTTTCAGTTCTACTCTGTCGTCCCGATCGCCAAGTCCCGCGGTTCAACGGTTGTAACGGCCTCGGATCATAATCAGTTAACTCAATTTTGAGGAACCTCTGAGGCGGGTTGGGATTCAATGATTCCGCGTAGATCCTGACTAGCAAGGCGCACATGCCGCGGTCAAGGCCCTTCGAGGAGGGTCCACCACCCCCAAGGGATAACACCCCTACTTGGCTAATGCGCTCAGGGGGTCCCAATGGAATGGGGGTCGCGTGAGGCGGGTAGTCAAGCAACGCTGCTGCAGGGCAAGGGGGGAGGCGTCAATGCAGCTGCTCATGCTTGCTGCTTGAGGGCCCGAGGAGAAGATCTGGTAGCTGGTGGCTTCTGACCGTCTGCATTGCGATGGAGTTCGGCCATGAGGTTGGTTGTGATGGGAGCCTGTACTGAGGGCTGACCGGCAAGTGGGATCCTAGATGTCCAAGTTTCACTTTACCTCCTCGCACCATGCCTTGCTAAAGTTTTATGCGCTTTTGTTTTCCTTTGCATGTTTAGATGCAGCTCAGAATTATTCTGGCGAAATAGGGGACTTTGTTCATTCCCGTCGTTCCCTGCTACTGTATTCTGGTCCATCGTCAGATTGCTTTGTCTTCAATCATTCAGCAAATTATCCCTCTACTGGCTCCGCATATGCAAGCATTTTTGGCATAGGATTCGGGAAAGGAGATGCTACTCCGAGCATGCGATTCGGGGTTACAAAGTCAGAGGACACGATCTGGTCTTCGGACACGAATCTCCATGGAATGGTTCCTGCGGGTTCGTCTATCACGCTTTCAGCCACTGTTAGCATTCAAACATCGAAGAATACCATCACAGAAGCTTTTACGTTTGATTTGCCTGCTATTCATCCTAGTGGCAATCAAACTGTGTGGGCAGTCAATCACGATAATGCCGTAACGTCTGTGATGACTATCTACGGAAGTTATATTGGTGTCAAAGATGTGACTGAAAAAGCACGTGTGGGTGGTACAGCTTTTGAGGTTTCTAGATGGATTTCCTCATCATCGATCTCTGCGAAACGTGTTAGTGGAAGGCAGTCATCCATTTCCATTCGAGTCACCGACAGCACAATTGTAGGAACAACCACTGAAATTTATTCATATGATACTGCTGCATCCTCAGGAGTTCTTTGGCACATCTACGTCCAATTTCTCAAAGTTGATTTTGTCATAGGCGATACAAATTTGCCACCATCTCCTCAATACCAACCGAATGATGGCTCCATATTTGTGGTTGGCAGCCATTTTTCTGAGATGGACTTCACTCCAAGTGCAGGAATGGGAGGTTCGGCTGTTGCTGCGACGAGTTGGCTGTCAAATACTTTGTTGCATTGCAGAGCCGCGGCAGGATTGTTCGGCTCTCGGTCGACAGTGGCGACAGCGGGTGACATGGTTGCGGGAGGAAGCGTGTCTCGTTCAGTATCTTATGATATCCCACTTGCAGTCAACGCAACCCCAAGTAACGTACAAAAGGATGGATTGTCAGTTGTGGGTAATCTAAAGTGCATCAATTTGGGTCGTTTTGATGGTTCTCCAAAAGCGTTTACCTCAACTTCAGTTGAATTCACAATTTGGTCAAGTGATACCGCATTACACGTTAAGTATTCTCGGGAAAATCGCGCCTACATTACACTCTCTGTTAAGTTGACAGTGGGTATGAAAGTGGGAACCAGTTCAAAGATACTCCTTTATGATTCTCCCTCTCTAAATGTCCTCCAAACAGCTAATTATCCTAGCTTCCCTGGCCTTTGCATCGAGACAGGAAATTGTTTGAACGACACTACTTTATTCGGAACTTACATAACAAGTGGACTGTCCTCAGAACGGGGGCGGATTGGGAGTACGCAGTGCGCTCGAACGAATTGGATATCTGTTTCTTCAATTTCGTGTAAGGCTGTAAGTGGAGTTTCCCTTTGGCGAGAAGTGGCATTGACTGCGGGACAAAGACTTTCTACCTTGACGACTGTTTTCACC